CGTATTCAAGGGCAATCATTACAAATAAAACTAGCCTCAGCAATTTAGCTCTCCCTGCTTCAGCTTCACAACTAAGCGAGCCCCAACATTTTCAGCTTTACATGCCTTGGCTCTAAATAAACTTCAGCTACACCAGAAACAAAAGAGCCTCGATGACTCCAAGAAATAATTATTTTCAGCAATAATACAGCTTAGCCATACTCGATAGTTCATTAGTCGACCGCCTTGACTCAAGGGCAAGTCTACATACTTCAGTAACAAGCTTAATGATATATGCATTTTTACATATTTATTCGGTCCATAAAACATGACTAATTGTTGTTGAAATTGGTTGAATATAGCTTAGTTCTATGAAATTTTGTTTGGTAGGATCATATTGATGGATGTGATGGGATTCAAGAGAAAATATGCTAAAAGGGACAAAATGAAAGAAAATAAAAGTTCATGGACCAAAGTGAAAATAATTTAAAGTTGACCCAAAGGACAAATCTAGATGATATATGCATTTTTACATATTTATTCGGTCCATAAAACATGACTAATTGTTGTTGAAATTGGTTGAATATAGCTTAGTTCTATGAAATTTTGTTTGGTAGGATCATATTGATGGATGTGATGGGATTCAAGAGAAAATATGCTAAAAGGGACAAAATGAAAGAAAATAAAAGTTCATGGACCAAAGTGAAAATAATTTAAAGTTGACCCAAAGGACAAATCTAGAATGTGAATGTGCTAAGTACCACTTCAGTGATAATACAAGGCATTAGAAGAAGGAAATTGGAGAAAATGGACCAAGATGGAAAATAATAAAAGTTCAGGGACCAACATGCAAATAATCAAAAGATGTACCGGAGGTACAATGAAGAATCGAAAGGCCCAAGGATCAATTTGTGAAATAATTAAAGTATTGGGAGAAGAACAATGGAGAAAAGAAGTCATGATACGAGAAATTGGAAATTGGGGGCCTAATTATCACTTTTGAAAACGAATAGACCACCATGCGATCGCATATTGGTGACTAGAACTTCAAGGTGGGCTACTCATTTGAACCATGCAATTGCATGGTTGTTTTTTGGGTGTGAATCCGCGATTTTCATTTTTTCGTGCAAATTCTTATGGAAACCTAAACAGGATGTGGTATAAAAATCTAAAAGACATCATATTTGAAGGAGGATGCCTGGGAAGAGAAAAGAACTCATATTGAAAGAGATTTTACATCACAATCACGAAGAGAAATGCGAAGATCAATGGGATTACACACCAAATCTCATATCGATGATGTCGTTTCTTAAAGTTATTGTGTATGTTGTTATTTTATCCATGCTAGGCAAGGTTTTCATGTATTAGGAGATCAATAAACCTTTTGATGTAACTTTTAAATTTCTAGCTTTGCAAGTTTGACATCAAAACACGTTTTTTGAATTTTGAATGATTTATATACAATTAATTACTTCAATAATTATGTGCACGTAATTATATGAATGTGATGACTTATTTCATGCGTTCGAGAGAAGGGGAATGAATTCGATAGGGTATAAATCATCGTAGGGTTCGATAGGAATAGAGATATATTGTTATACCTTGCGTGAATCTTTAAGTGCTCACAAAACCACATGTATTCTTATATATTTGATAGGCCAGTGATATATGAGAATAGGTTCAACTTTACTTGAGAAAGACTGTTGGATAGATTTAGGAGCATTGATTCTTCAAAAATTCAACATGTTGTCAATTTATGAAACTAGGGTTAAAAGTAAACAATACTTGGAGATTCGTTATCCTAATGCAATTCATATTCATCAAGTTTAACAAATTCACATTCTATCATTCATTTTGTATTTTAGTTTGTTTGAGTCATACATAGTTGCATAGTAGGTTAAATTAGGGTTAATTCAGGTTACTGCAATTCTCGTGTGATACTTTGGCTTTGGTTAAGGTCGAGTTAGATTTAATTAAACTACTTAATATCTATGTGATGACATTTGGACTCTAATTTTCCACTTTACTACTTGTTGCAAACCATACACTTGCAAAATCAAATCGAAAGAATAATTTCGTGAACACTTACTTCCGAAGTCCACGTATGATATAAATAAACTATGCATAGACCTGGGGGATTATTGTTACATCTCGCCACACGTGGCACTAAGACACCAAGAATAGGGCCCCACCAAGGTACTCTTACTCGAGTCCTTTTATCCACGTGGCAAAAATGATTGACGCTCATTGACGAAGCAACCGACCTACTCACAGCATTGAAACCATCTCAACAAAACCCTACTCATGAGCGATGAGGCCAGAAAGTGTAGTTCGAGGCCCATCCTTTTCTCCGTGCTGAAGTTCTGGGTTCTAAAGCACGCAGCCTCGAAAGAGTCCAAGGCCCCTCTACCTGATGCCAACCTACGCAAAGGAGATCCTGGATCTACGTACGAATTCTTTTAGGAATGATCGATGGGACGCTAATAATGAGTATAAATGTCAAGTCTTATCAACAAAAGTGGCAGCTCTATGTAAGTATTTAGTGTACCACATGCCAACAGGTCAAAATTGATGCCTATAATTAGATGCTTGAATTAAGGAGATGAGACCACGTGTACTTTCATCCAATGGTCACCATTTCACTTGTAACACTATAAATACCCCCCAATGCAACATAAAGAAGACTAATGCAACCCTTGACACTACAAAAACTACTTTTATTCTTCTTTCTTAAAAACTATTTATTTACTTAACTACAAGTTTATGTTATTTGGCTTTAATTGAGCTATTTGTAATTGATGATCATAATACCAGCATTTCATGAATCTATTGCTGGAGCACGAACACATTTGTTTCACGATGTGGACTCGTGGAGCCTCTCCTACACCTATGCTTTCAGAGTACTATCAGCTAGAAACTTGTGTTCACATGTGGCAATCTGCTTTATGTGTACGCGAGTGAATCTGACATTTGTTGTCCACGTCCTCCTTACAAAAAACGAGGTCAACAATCACCAATAATTCCACAAATCTATACAAATTTCTTTTTCACAAATGAAGTATAGAATGGTCCTGAAAAGGTATTAATAATAGTTACTCTCTTTAGCCTATGGAACAAAATGTTGTAGAAGCTTTAGTCAAGATAATATGTTTTTAATATATCTATATTTTTCAGTTTAAATTATCATAATATAATTGAGTAGGAGTTGGATGATAACTGCATTTTGTACACTTATTTAGACCATATTATTAAGTTTTTATGTCACGAAAGTGTTAACTGTTACTTAACTTGAGTAATTTCTCGTTTATTTCAGTGATAGACTGGTTTCTAAGCAATTGGAAAACAAAAAAAGGAGAAATCCAAAGTATGAGGATTAAATTACAACATTTCAATAGTTGATTCAGATCACAAAATGAAGATTAAAGATGTTGTGGGTTCCATTGGATGCAATTAATAGTCAAAGGATTGAAAACGCAAGAGAAAGTGTTTGAAAGAATCAAGAATCAACTTCGGGGGCTAAAATGTAACATATGGAAGAAATTATGTCTGGGCGACAGCCCAGTTATAAATACTAGACGATCGCCCAACTTGAAAAATTCAATATCGAGGCAAAAATCTATGCCTAGGCGACTGCCCGGGTTTTGCCTAGGCTGTCGCCCAGGTCAATTTTGGAGAGAAAAATCTTGTTTCCGTTCCTAATTGAAATTCTTATGGAAACAAATCTTGGAAGACCTGTTAAAGCCCTAAGGACGTCCAAAAAGATATATCATGCATTATACATTATTTTAGGGAGGATTTGAAGAGAAAAAGAAGGCAAGAACGAAATGAATTCCAAGATTCAAGATTTCAAATCAAAGGGCGATTGGGTGATGTTCTTTCCTTATTTTTCTGTTGTTTTTGTTTTCCTATCATGTCTAGCTAGATTTTCATGTACTAGGAGATCGATGTACCATGTGATGTGATCTTTAAATTTCTAGTTTACAATTCGACATTAAACACGTATTTGAATGGTTTATATGCATTAATTTTCTTCTATAATTAAGTGCACGTAATTATGTGAAGTTTGGTAGTTTATTTCATATGTTTGAGAGGAGAAATAAATTTAACAAGGTATAAATCGTCAAAGGGTCCGATAGGGAATAGAGATATATATCTATGCTTTGCGTGAATCGTTAATTATTCATAAAATCACATGCATTCTTATACCTGCATTTGTCATAGAGATATAGGTCGGTGGTGTATAAGAATAGGTTCAGTACATCTCGAAAGAAAGTGTTGGATAGATTTAGTAGCATTGATTCGTCAACAATTCAATCATGTTGTCATTTTGTGAAATTAGGGTTTAGAGTGACCATTGCATGGGAATTCGTGATCCTAGTGCGTTTAATTTTCATTGAATACAACTACTTTGCATTCCAAACATTTGATTTGCATTTTAATTCGTTAAAACATTGTTTTGCATATTGAGTTCATTCCAATCATAAAACTAGGATTTTCTTTCCAAATTAGGATTTCGTTCACTTTGAGTAATTTAGTTTCGGTTAAGACTACGATAGATAGGATAAAACTAATCAATCTTTGTGGGACGATATTCGGACTCAATTGATCTATTTTATTACTTGTTAATGAACCGTACACTTGCGATGATTTGAATCGAAAGAAAATATTTTTTGAACATCGGATATTGTTAAGACTTAGTTCCATCGACTTTATAAAGATAAGTAATCCAAACATTTGTATGTTGGTCATTCATATTATATTTATGTAATAGTAGAAACACTTGATGTCAATTCCTATTTAAATCGTAGTTTAAATTTGAGCCATCATGTTTTTCACTTAATTACCCTATAGTCGTCTACACGTTTTTCAATTTTTCTTTTTAAATGTATTGCTCTGTTAATATATGCAAGGAATGAAAGACAGGAATTTGAAGATTAATATATTGACTTATAAGAGCTCAATCTTTTTTACTTGATAGATTGGTCGTCTGCTTGTGCTCCACGCGCCTTGTTACCTTTTGCCTCATCCTCGTAGCGACACGAGTGTTTGTTATTTACTTCCCGGAGTTCCCTCGTTTTTTGTATTGTCCCTTGATATGTTTCATATTACTCAGATTTTTTTAGTCGATTTTTATGCTTTGTTTTGTCATTTACATGCAAGCCCATTTCAGACCACATGTTCACACATTAATCTTGCGAGATAATTCCTGATATTATGGCATGGAATGATACCGATGGCCCTTTATATTTTTAATTATTTATTAATTATTTCTCTGCCTAATTTTCATATAGTTAGACCCGTAGGGTGAAGAATCCCAAGATTATCCTTGTTTTCGAGCAAATCGAGAGATTCTCAGAACATATTCAAAGGAGCACAATATAATCAATCTTGGATTGCGTATGTAGCTAGTTATAATTATCTTTTATTGGGGGTGTGGAATTGTAATTGTGGATTAAGGTTGAAGGGGGTAGTTGAGATTTGTAGTTTAATGGAGCTTAAATTGTATAGTTCGAAGTCGTTATCTGTTAAAACAGAGATGATGCTTTCGAGCTCTTTTCTCAACTCGAAACACACTGTTAAACTCATTCCACGCTTGTGTTCCTGGAGAGGTAATCCCTTTTTGGTCATTTGATTTTTTAAGAATATTTTTCTTAGTCAGAAAAACACATGAGTATTCTGTCCTTCTAGTTCTCTGCATTTCGGTCTTTCTTGAAATTAATTCAAGCCCTTTTATCATATGGTAATTCATTTTCTTGATTTGATGCTGTGTTGAACTGTTGGACCTGGGACGATGGGCTTTTATAGCTCTTCTGATTTCTAATTTTTAAGAGGCATTTGATTGTAGTTTGAATATGCTGTTGGTTTTTTGTCTTGAAAGTTAATTCATGTAATTAATTACAAATAAATTAATATTGCATCATTAGAAGTTGAAATTCTGTGTCTTATATGTTCATTATCAATGTTAAGAAGATAATCTGTCTGAATTTCTACTTGGGCATTGATTTGAATAACTTATTCTTATTTCTCTTGTTGTTTCCTAATTTGTTTTCAGGCATTTTTCCAAAGGCTTCTTGTTCAAGAACTTCCCAAAAGGCTATCAACTCAATTAGCCACGAAAATATTTTAGACTCTTATTCATACAAGGTCTATAGAACAAATGGTTCCAGTTCAAAAATGTACATTAAAGATAAGAGAGTTCTCGATGCAATTGATGATATTTATGATGGAGTTGTTGTAATTCCTGAAAGACTTCCATCTAATCCCAATGTATTTGCCTCCATGCTTCGTTCATCAATTTGCCATTGGAAAATAGAGGTACGGTCTCTTATTTGGTTCACTTTTAGCTCGGTTCAGATGCAGCAGCTTCTAATTTTACTTAGTGTAAAGGAATGTTCCTAATAAAAATGGGTAGTTCTTATTAATCCTGTGGAGACGTATAATTAAGATGAATATGTGCGGCCAACTACAAATATTTCTTCAATTTCTTGTTCGTTTTATTTGAGTCTCTTTGGTGAAAATATCACATTAACAAAAATTTGCCATCTTTGAACTGCATATGTTCTCGCCCCCTAGGAAATTCCTATTCCTTTCCTCTAATTCAGTGAGTCACAGAGCATACGCAATCTAAAGCAACCCAAATGCAGGGAAAGAAGGGTATTTGGCTTAAGCTGCCTGTAGAAAAATGTGGACTTGTTCCAATAGCTGTACAGGTATATCACCTCATTCTTGTGTTACATTCTTGTATTGTGCATCTGACAGTATAATTTCATCATTTATAAAGGGAAAGCAATATCTAACATAACAGCCTATTGTAGGAAGGATTCAAGTACCACCATGCAGAAAGATCTTATATCATGATGACTTATTGGATCCCCGACGGGCCCTGCCTGCTTCCTTCTAATGCTTCACATCAAGTCGGAATCGGTGGATTTGTGATCAATGAAAAAAATGAGGTATAAGGTGCTATTCCTAGAACAAATTCCAACAAAACCGTGTTGCCTAAAATACTAATCCTATGTATTTATAGATGCAGCATATTAGCAGTTCTCTAGGTAAAGCCTTTGGAAGTTGACAATATTGTTCAATAAGTTTTAAATCTTGCATTTGTACAGGTACTCGTAGTACAAGAAAAACATTGTGCTCCAGCACTTCTTGGTCTCTGGAAGATGCCAACTGGTTTCATTCTTGAGGTATGTTTTGTCAATTGAACTTTTACCGCAATGTCCTTAGAGAATAACAGCTGCATCTTGTTTAATGCTATTTCATCGATCAGTCCGAGGAAATATATACAGGAGCCGTAAGAGAAGTTAAGGAGGAAACAGGAGTAAGATACTAGCACTTTGTGCATTTTCTTGGTGAACACGTTTCTTATTTCCTCCTAACATTTTGGAGTACGACTTTGATTCTTAATGATGGATTATTTGATCGTGTTCCAGATTGATACAGAATTTGTGGAAGTCGTAGCTTTCAGGTACAAACAATTTGATTCTCATATATACCAACAGTATTCGGAGTTAAAAGAGAAGCGCTAGGGAATAAATACATGAGCAAACTGTTAAGCTAATTATATCAGCATCTTTTGGTTCTATCATGAAAGTTTACCAGCTTATTGTGTGAAGAATTATTAAATCATATGTTCACGAAAACAATGCCTAGAAATTTTGGAATCTTATGTAGAAAATTAATTTCAGATATAAATCACTAAAACGAATCAGAATGTAGTTAAGTTTTGCGAGTCATGTGTTAATATATAATCCATCTTCCGCTGCAGGCATGCTCAGAATGTGTCTTTCGAGAAATCAGATTTGTTCTTCATCTGCATGTTAAGACCACTGTCAACACAGATCGTGGTCGATGATCATGAAATTCAAGCAGCCAAGGTGCACACACGATGTGATGAATGTCTTACCCTTATTCATTTTTGTGAAACAAAACCATCAACATTCATTAAGGAAAAACACTGCAAATAATAAAATGAGGAACATAGTCTACCAAGATCCTCAAGACATCGCTAGCTATTAATCCCAAACATCACAAAACAACCCTGCAAAATATTCAGCAAGACATCACTAGCTATTCCCTAAATAACATACCATAAAACAACCCCTTTCCCAACAGATTTTGCTGAACTGCAAGCGAAGTGAATATCACCTGTTTCACTGTCTCCTCTTTTTATTAATGCATTCTTTTTGTCATTGTTATTCCCTATTCTGCAATAACTAGAATATAAATTGTTGTTTTTGATTTCTGTTCTTTCTAGCCAATTTCTTGGAGGAAAATATGAAACATGAAAATAGTAAAATAATTGTCCAAGAATTAGTATTCCGACAGTTACCAGTTAATAAAAAATCTGGATCAAGATCGTCTATATCAATATTAGAGTGTAAAAGTAGGAAGTAGTCTTTCACGAGAAGTCCTTTAAGAAATAATTAAATCCTGAATTAAGAAATACACTAATTTTCAATAATATCATATTTAAGGAAGATGCTAGTGACGGAATTAAATGAGATATTAATTAAGTTTAGTTTCCAATTTTGATGCTTATTTAGGAAATATAATTGGGCATTAATTTCATAAATTTTATAGTACTTTTTACTACAATTATGATTAGTTTAAAGCTATATAAAGAGGGCATTTGCATTGTTATAGAAACAATTTTGATATGCATAAAAATTGATTTTCTCCCCGTAAATTCTCTCTTCACGTCTCCTTTTAGTCTGTCTAATTCTCCTTCCGTTTCTACGTCCATACATTTGTATCCTCTCCCTTCTTTCTTCTCTTTCTTTCTCAATCTCATTCTTGTTTGACTGTATTCTACGTCAATTTGGAATCAGGTTTGTGCAAAACGACTGAATTCCTCCTTCATCAGAGGAAATGATCTCCATATGTATACAGAATATATCCGAAGAGGAAAGGGTAGAGTAAAACTAAGATTGTGTGTAATAGTTATCAGAACTTAATTGCTTTAGATCATCTAGTAAATCTAGAAATGAATCAAATGGAACCCTCGTCTCTCTGTGAAAGTTAAAGAACAACCATAAAGGGGAATAAAAGCACTTTCTGTGTGTTTTTGCGAATAACTTACCTTTACTTATGATTCAAGATCTTCATGATATCTCACCCAGTGTAATCTCCATGCAGTGGATGCCATTAGACGAGTTTGTGGAGCAACCATTAATCCAAGGAGACAGCATGTTCAAGAAAATAGTTGAGATTTGCATTGCGCGGATTAAAAAGTGTTATTGTGGATTATCAGTTCATCAATTGGTTTCTAAATTTGATGGCAAGCTCTCCTCATTGTACTTCAACATAGTTGAAGATAGAGATTCTAATTGCCAGGCGAGATGATGCATAAAACATTCCTTGCTCGTTTTGCTTAAACTTGATCGAGTTGTTTAAGGTTGCCTGGGGTAGAAAGGTTGTGTAAGGCTACTTCTCTCCCTATCTTTTAATTTTCATTTTCATTTTTCCTTTTTGAGGTGTCTAAATATGTAACCATCTTACAATGGAGTGATGGGTAATATTGGATGCGTCAACTGACGCTTTGTACATATACCATAACATTGAATGTTGATATGCTGTCCATATATATTTAAATATCTTCATGTGGGATTAATTTCAATTATTGTCAAACATTTGTTTCGACTTGGTTTAAACATTTCTATTCTCTTAACTCTTCAATATAAGAGACTTATTAAACATTTCTATTCATTATTATTCATTTTAGAATCAAATTTAGCCCATGTTTGATTCTCACTTTTCGAGAATACATTTTTTCAAAATTGATTTTTAACCACACATTCTTCTATAAAATAATTATACACGTATTTCAAAAACTTTTCTTATTATACACGTGTTTTAGAAACTTTTCTTTTTAACCATACATTCTCCAAAAAGCCACTATTCCATAATGCATTTTATCCAAAAAAATGAGAATCAAACAGGGGCTTAGAAAGTGGTCCTATCTTTTTAAATTGTTATCCAAAATTTACAATCAATTTAAATGATTGAGGTATTCTTAGTGATCTAAATCTTCATATTCAAACAAAAAATTTAGATTGTGATGGTCATTCTAAAAAGAATCTACTATAATATATAGAATATATTACAAGCTTCTGAATACTCAACTCAAAATTAGAGCTCTTCGCTCAAAGAAGAAAGCCTTCTTGTGGAGGTTGACCCTCTTCATTTTAACACCATGATTCCTGAAAGGATAGTATGGAATCTTCAATCTAGAGGACTTAAATGAAATTTTGAAAATACTCTAGCTCCACTTCTTGTGCCTACTAGATCAATCCTAATTCAAATTATTTCATAAGTGTCAAAATCATTTTTGATATAGGGTCTTCATCAAATAATCTTCAGATGTCTTATTCTTCTAGATCTGAAAATAGATACGATTACTTCTTTCAAAATTCTAGATTTTCGACTTCTTTAGGGAAGTTAAAAGAAGTTGATTTCACTTCAAATATTTCAAAAACTGAATATGCATCTAATAATGACAATGAATCAAAACATTCATGTTCACCAACTTTATCTGATATGCTTCCAAATCCTTTTGAAAGATTATATCAATAATGTGATGTCATTTCCTCTGTAGATAGAAAAAAATGAATTCAAAACTGATCAAACATCAGTCATAAGTTCTCGTCAAACTCTTCATTCAATGTTTTCAAAAAAATGAAACTAGAACTTTATGAAAAGAATTTCATGGTTCTTGTGAAGATATAAGTTTTTATAAATGGACATATACCAAAAAGGCCCAAGGGCATAGGAGGTAGATGAAAATAATTTAGAACACAAAGTAAGAAATATTTTTATTGAAGATCAAAAATATGGAAAACTACAAATATTTGAAATAAATTCTTAAAAGAAAATATTTAGATTACAAGGAAATCTAAAATTTTCTTGAAAAAGTTTTTTCTCCTGCTGAAAAAACTTTTGCCGGAGCCTTGAATCTTGATCTTCTTTTATAATTGAAGTCTTGAAGTCTGGACTTGAAATTTTTTGAATTGTAATCAAAGAGTCTTACACAGTATTGATCTCATTTTCTCCTTTTTGAAAGGTCTTCTTGGATAATGGAGGAAATTTGTTATTTTGTTTGCAATTTTCTCAGTAAATTATTAAAGTTGAAAGGAAATATCACTTCGGCTTTAATAAAATCTTTTGATTCAATACCAGCTTTTTGATTCCATACCAGTTTTTTGAAAAATGACAACGCTTTAATAAAGCTTATCTATATCTTTAATAGAGCTTGTCTATTAGTACTTAATTGATGGTAATGCGAGTAAAAATAGCTATCGAGGTCTCAGACATAATTGAAATAATATCTCCTTTTATTTGAGAATCCTGTATCTTTGATATTCATCCAAATAGTTTTATATAGTCATTTTGAGATTAATTGTGTGTTTTCTTGAGAATTGAATTCGTCCAGGTCAATCCTGTAACAATCATCTTTATTGTGTTGAGCATAGTCTATTTCAGAGCCTATTTTAGAAGAAGAGTTGCCTTGAACTAATTTTAATTTCCTCGAAGTAGATTTTGTCAGAAATGCAATTTTTTTTAGAAATAATTGCTAATTTTTATGGCATCTTACATTGATTGAACATAGTCATTAATCTTGATTTTTTGGAAGAAAATTGCATTTTTATTAATTCCTTCTTTGAAATTTTTGGAACAATGATATTCCTTTGTTCTTGAATCAATAAATTTAATGCTTTTGGACAATAATTTGTTTTATGGAATTTTGACCACTATTTTACTTTAAATGTGCGAATAATCTTTTTAACATGATATTCAAAGCTTTGATCTTGAATAATATGATAGTCTCAACAAAATATGCATGAGACCTTTAGATTGAATGCGAACTGAAACAAAATATTTTCTTGAGGTTTAAAAAAAAAAAAATTGCCTCTTTTTTGAAGTGTTTAAATTATTAATGAGTAAGACTAGGTAACATTTTCTCATCAAGTCCAAAACATTAAAACCATGTTTGAAACTATTCTGGAAAAGTCGAATTACAATTTTGACTGAATAAAATAAACCAAGAATGAGTCACTGGTAAAAAAAAAACAAAAAAATAGTCATACCAAACATCATTGTAATCAAAATAATTGAAATGAAATTCTAATTATTCATCTTTTGGGAAACTATTCTCTTCTGATTCCATGATTGATGTCCGAAGTCTTCGTATGACGACACCCTTTGTCTACTGATTTTTGAAAAATCAAATTTATTTTTTTTTTGAAAATTTTTTGTATCATTTTATGATAGTTGAATATGTTTTTATAAGAACGGCTTCATAAAACTCTCTAGATTTATTGATATTATATGGCATAAATTGAAATTGAGGAGGAAAAAGGTCTTAACGACATTTATTTAAAGATGAATATCTATTTATCCATGATATTTTCATTTAAAAAATTGGAATATACGCAGATTTAAGAAAATATTGAAAAGTGTTTGAAGGATTAATTTGAGGTAATTTTTTTAGAATCTTGGATAGCTTGTTAAAATTTGAAGGTTTTGACTGTTTTGGAATTTTTTTTTGTTTGAGTAGGTTTTTTGAAAACTAAAGTTTTTGAAGTAGTGTTTTGAGTATTTTGAGAAGATGAAGAACTTTGTTCTTCCTTTTTTGATGATGATCCTTGAATATAATCATCAATTGAGAATAATGCTATTGAAGTCTTTTTACAACTACTTTTCTTTTGAAATGAAGCTTCAAAAGAAGCCATTGAAATCTTTTCTTTCTTTGAATTCTCACTCTCTTTTTGATAAAATATCGCTCTAATTCATTCACATTCTTCTAATATTTTGAATATTATCACTATTCTCACTTACTTTTCTATATATAAGCTCTAATGTGAGGAAGTCTGCTAGAACATTTGATTTTTCTTGTATAGATGGTGTCTCAAAATTAAAAATGACAAAATTGTCTGTCATCTTGCAAATATTTGTTTTGTAACAAAGTTTTTTACTTTTTCTGTAAAAACATCTTTGGAAACATTACAATTTGTTTTTAAAATGAATTTTTTGTTAATTAAATCATTTTGAAATTTTGAAACATGTAAAACTATCGATAAAATTTATTTTTTAATAGTTGAATAATTTTTTTGAGGGCCGGTCCACACTTCACTATGTAATCTAACCAACTGTTCTTCATCTGATTCTTTTAGAATCTGCTTTAACACTCCACAATACCCTATATTTGATGCATCGGTCTCAACAATTATAGAGGCTGTAGGGTCTAGGATTGAAAGACGAGGAATGTTTTTAACGGCTAGCTTGACTTTTTGGACAACTAAAGTATGATAATTTCTCCATGATTATGGATTTTTCTGTAGCCTTTGAAAAAGATGGGCAAAGATTTAACATATACTTTTGACAAAATCAATCACACAATTGACAAAGTCTAAAAAGCGCTTCAAACTTATTTTATCTTGAATTTCATCTGAAATTTTATCAGCAAATTCTAGACTTCTTTGAATTGGAGTAAATATTCCTAGGTGTATATAATAACCTAAAAATCTTATACTTGTTTGACAGAGAACAATATTTTTAGCATAAATTGGTAATCCATTATTCTTAATAACATGAACAAATGCATTAATATGCTTAAAATGTTGTTCCAAACTTTTAGAATATATTAGAACATCATCTATATAAACAATAATAAAATTTTGATAAGGATTGAAAATATAATTGATAATTTTTTTTTTGAAATTCTGAATGAACATTTTTTAGACCAAAAGGCATAACCTTTCATTCATATTGACCAAACAGAACATTAAAAGCATATTTGTACCTATCTTCTTCTTTAGTTTGAATATGCCAGAAGCCAAATTTCATATCGAATTTAGAGAAGATAAAAGCTTTGAATAATCAGTTTAACAGATCTTTCTTTTGACGTAAATGATATCAAATCCATTGAAGAACTTTATTGAGGAGTTTGTAATTGATAACTTGTCTAGGAGCTCTTCGTTCAATTTCAGCAAAATTATTGAAATAAAATGTCGAGCAACTCTATGGGAATTTGCTTGGGCGAATAAGTTTCTTTTCTAATAAATCATTGATTTCCTTGATATAGAAATCAAGTAATTCCTTATTCATTTGAATAGGACAAGATTATGCAGGGATCATGAATTCATGAATACAAGAAAGGGAAATAATATGTTTTTTATATTCCAGAAAGCATTAGGAATAATCGAACATATTTCATTTTCAATTTGTTTTTGAAAATTTGAAATTTTTTCTTCAATTGAAGGAGTTTGTAATTGTTTTTCAATTCTTTGAAATTTAATTTCTTCTTTGAGAAATTGAATATGATTCTTTTTATTATTAATATTATTGAAAAAATTTTAAATTGTTGTTTTGTTTAAAGAATTAATATTTTTTTTAAAAAGGAGGATTTGTGAATTTGAAGAATATTTCTAGATAAAAAAATTTTTGTACTTAATCCTTTTTCATTTGCTTTAAAAGGATAGATTTGAACTATAAAAGGTGTACCAACAATTACATCTTGATCTAAATCTTTTATTGAATAAAACATATTTTTAAAACATATATTTGAATTGCAAACATTATTGAATATTGAGCCTTTTACCACTAGTACCATAAAGACGCTCA